CCCGCTGTCGTGTTAGCCTCATTTCCTTTTTTTGTCTTAGAGGTGTTCCCGCTGCATCGTTAGCGTCACGTCCGTTATGCAATGCCACTACGCGGTACCCAGCCTTGCTCTGCAACGCTGTGGTATGCGATGCTTGGCCACGCAACGCCATGCCATGCTATTTTGCGCATCGCCATACCCTGGGATGCAACGCAGGGCTATGCCACGCGCTGTGCGACTCCATCCCTTGCTATGCAATGCGATGACCAGCAATGCTTGGCTATTCAATGCAATGCTACGCTATGCAGGGCTCTCCTTCGCCATCCACTGCCGTGCTATGTTGTGTGGCGCTTATCCTTTCGGGATCAAAGTCTTTTTCAACACCCGACCATGCGAGAGGGGGGCTCTACTCAATTGTGAGGGATGGGAGGGAGGAGTAGGACGTCAGACATGAGGCGAGCGCACCTAGCTTGCTCCCCCTCGCTCCTCCCTCCTTCCTCTGCCTTCAGGGGAGTGTTGCTGTCTGTGGTACTCTCATCCCCCTTGCTGTAGTACGTACCCATACCAGTCCTTGGTGTTTCAGGGGGAAGCTCACCTAGGTTAACTCTAGGTGAGCGGTGGATTGCCGATTCACGGGTTGCCGATACAACTATATATTTTTCCGTTTGAAAGGCAAAGAACGGAAGCTGTTAATTGTTGGTTGCCGTGTGGCATCGCTCTCCACTTTTCCAGGGGCGTACAGTCCATAAGCACAAGCCGGTCGCGTAAGTGCCGGCTGCGTCGACACCGTCGGCTGGGAAATGTATATAATCATTTAACGTGATTGGTTGGGGATTGGATGCTCAATCTTGGCGTCTGCATGAAAAAGGGTGTGCTCAGGCATCATCAGAAGGTTGCGCAGTGCATCGCACTTGCTCATGCTCGGCTTCGTCACGGATTACACAGAACAGGGGGCTCCGATGGGCACGGCACATGATCTAACGCAGTGTGTACCCCAATCTTCCGAAACCCCGCCGACCCCCTGAGAACCCCGGATGCAGGGGGCGTTGTCGTAGAAGCGTCGTGGCGCCGCGCGTTCATCTTAATCAGTCAGTGGCGCCGTGTCTGCACGGCACACGGGCTATCGCAGTGTCCCCCAATCCTTTTTGATGGTCTTTGTGAGGTCCTCCGTGTTCCCTTCGTACCTCTCCCCTCCCCTTTTTGTGTGACCCATAGCATTTGGCTTAGATGTGCGAGATGATCTTTCGCTCCGTGGTGAGCCCCAATGTTTTCCTCGTTCTTACAACCCAACACGCCGTCGGATGATGACACAGTGGTAGCAAGAGCGCTTGGTGATGGAGAGCAAGGTGCTGGAGGTGGGGCCGCCGCGGAGGCGGAGACAGAAGGCGCACGACGCCCACTAGCAGGGCAGGAAGCTCTGACTGCCCATGAAATTGACACTGGGACCGTACGACACACGAGCAGAGCAATGCAACTAGACGCGGGCTCGAGAAAATGATAGACGAAGAAAGAACCATATAAACATAAACTTTTGGCGCTTCGCGCGGATTTCTTGGATCAGCGCCTAGCCCCCCCGGCGGCGCCTCCGGCGCCGCCCCTGGCGCGCTCCGCGCGCCAGTGAGGGGGGTCCAGCGCGAATCCAAGAAATCCGCGCGGAGCGCCAACAGTTTATGTTTACGTGTGTGTGTTTTTGTTTTTCTTTTTTTTCTATATGAGGCAGGGGTCCCAGCGGACCCGTGGCACAGTTCAGCAGACCCGTGGAAATCGTCAGGATGGACCCCGTCTCTTTCTTCAGCCACGTGGGCCACTCCGGCTGGATGGACGTCGTCACTTTCTTCAGCCAACCGAGGGAGGTCTTTACTTTTTCCCCGGCGGAAAATACACTCGCCCCTGCTCGTTTTCCTGTTCCTCCTCGTCCTCCTCCTCCTCGTCATCGTTGTCGTTGGCGCCCGCGTCGTGCGCCACATACCAGTTTACCAGTAATGTTCGCCGCGCTGGGTAATTCTTTGTTTTTTCCCGCGCAGCGAAGAATGTCCCCTGGGCTAGCGGCTAGCCTGCGCGACAGAGGAATTTTGAGCACGTGTGTAACAATATTGCAATGCAGATCGACACGGTCCTCGCCGAATGCGTTAATCACAATATTTTCCTTCACCTCGTCACGTTTTCAACAATATTGCATTCTATGTTAATGCACCTACAACCGACATCCAAACATTCAGCGCGGGCGCCCGCGACGCGGTCGACTGATTAATTTCCCCTTGTTGTTCGCCGCGCTGGATACTGTGGGGAAGGTTCTCCCCGGCGAACCATCCTCTTTAGGCTATCCTGCGCGACAGAGGAATTTTGAAAACAATCGTAAAGTTGTTACGATCTGTATTTGTATATGTATCTGATGTATATTTATATGTATATGCATATGTGTAGATATGCATATGTGGACACATTCGTCGCCGTGTAGTCGTAGTCGCACCTGTAGTCGCTGACTATTCGTAATCATAGCCGTAGTCGTATCGTGGTCGTAGTCGTAATTGTAGTCGTCGCCATTGTCGTTGTCGTGTGGCGGGTGCCACGGATAGATAATCATGTCCCAGTATTGGTGGGGCCGCAGTCCGTCACGAAAGTCGCCGGAAAAATAACATTATTGTCCAAACACTGGGGGGGTCCAATCCCGGTTTTGTGGGTCATGAAGTTTAGGTGGAACGCGTGGTGGATATCCGGCTGGGACACTGGCGGGTGGAAAGCCAGTCATCTGGCATGTCGATGTTCGGGGGTGATTCAGGTGACGGGTGGTGGGCGCCCCGAGAAAGGATAAGCTTTTGGGAAAACGAATGGCATGATTTTCCGAAGGGCAGAAAGTTCGGGGATCCCCCAGTGCAGTTGGGTTTTGTCGATTTTGATACGTATACGCTGAATTTCAGACCGCGGTCATCTCGGACATGTTATCGTGCCGAAGTGCGCGCAGGTAAGTTGCTCGCGGATGTTTCCGTAGAGGTGCAGCACAAGTTCAGATTGTACAGACGGACTCTAGACGAAAAGGACGGTCTCGAAAAGGTATTGTTGAATCTATCGATCTTGAACGGAGAGCGCCCAGGAGATAGTTGTCAAGATGCACAGTCAGCTGCCCGTTTTGAGTGCGTGTTGCGACGTGGGGAATCGATCACAGACCACGTGCTTCGTCGAGGCACTCCAGCATCATAGGTTGAGGTGCATGTGCGTCGGCGTCCAGACAACGTGTTCGTTCTCTTCCCGCTGCCGCAAGACGGGGCCAACCTCGCCGCGCAAAATAAAATGAGTATAAGAAGATTGGCTGGGGAACTCACCGATATCAAATCCATCCCAGCTACCCTGCTCATGCCCGGTGTCCGACAGAGGGCTGTTCTTCCTACCTCGGCTCGGTCGCAACTGGGCGGTTCGACATTTTGGGAGCACGGGAGTGACACCTGTGAGCCCACCCCGTCCCCTCCCAAGCCGTTCGGAGACGTCGACGTCGACTCGCCCTTCGCCGAGCCGCCAGATGATGCGTTTGCCTTTTACGGGCCAGATGCCGAGGCGTTCTTGACGACGCCCCAGGATGTGCTTGCTGACGAGCCCACGTCGGCGTCGGCGGCGGTGATCGACGAAAAGATTGGCAATCGATGGGAAGTCGACGGCCGACGCGAGGATACAGCTTCACTTCTCCATCAAAAAGCGCGCGGCGCGGCCCAGACGCAAGCGGATCGCATCGGCAGACTCGAAGTGTCGGTCGAGATGTGCGAGTTGTGGCGAGAAAGGCCATCGGGCTGAGAGCAGCCAGAAGCCATGCCGTTCCAAGGCCGATCGTTTTGCGTCAGGGCGTCGCGGAGGACTGTCTTCAGCAGACGCGCGGGGTGCGGGCTCGGCCCAGACGCGCACAGACCTCTGGCTCTTCTCCGACCAGACCTTAGACAGCGGTGGCGATCGCTCTGTTTTCTTCACTTGTCACGCCGCGGCCAGGGAGAGGCGCGACATCGTTCATCTCGCGACGGGGGGGCTCGCGAGAGCATCTCTCGGGAGAATGTTGAGCGCCGCTCTTGTCGGCGCGGCGGCGCGGGCCTGGCTCTCGTCGGCAAGGGAGGCCTCGAGTTTTTGGTCGCGTCGTTTCGGGGGCGAGGTTTTGACGTGCGCGTTGTTCTCGGAAGGGCGATCGGTTTGACCCCCGGCGGCATTTGCGGCGAGACGGAACCTGTCGGCAGAGCATGGGCGGAGGAGGGAGGAGGAGGAGGAAGACGAAGAGGAGGAGGATAAGGAGGAGGAGAAGGAGGAGGACGAGGATTTCGGGGCGCCGGGGGGCGACGAGCTCGTGGCCGACGCCGCCGCCGTCGCCGTCGCCCACGACCTCCCGTGCGTCTGCGCTGTGTTTGCTCTGGCCGGTGCGCCCCCTCCCCCTGGGGGCGGTTGCCGTTCGCGTGCCGCTCCTGAGGGCACCGCCTCGTGCGAGAGTCGGCGGGGAAGAGCGCCAGCTCCGGACCAAAGAGCTCGGACGGCCCACCCGCGTCCCGCCCGGGGAGGGATCTGGATGGCATCGCGGGGGGCGGCTCGCTCGTTGCAGCACTTCTTGCCACACGGAGGCGCATGTACGGAAAAACGAAAGCATGCACGATAAAAAACATGGTACACCACGGCCGCGACACATTTAACATAACGCGAATGCGCAGTGCGAGTTGCGACGAGCAGTCCCCGTCCTCGACGTTAATCGGCACGGCCAGTCACAGCAGACGTATGCAGCGCGCGCGTAGAATGCCACGGAACACAGACCACCCAAGTAAGTCCAAAACAAACGTGCGATGGCAAGCGAAGTGATGACCCATATGTTGGGGGGGGGGGGGAAACGAGGAGGAGGAGGAGGAGGAGGAAGAAGAAGCGCCCTGCATCCTCACGACCTTGCTCAAACGAGGCCTTGTTGAGTCGTCAGGGGGGCCCGGGCAAGCGCGCGCGGCCCCGTCGCGCACGGAGGCCCCGCTCCAGCGCCCCGCGCCCGCGGCGCGGAGACGGCCGCCGGGGCCATGGAGGACGCGAGGCGGCGAGAGGAGGACCGCCTCAAGGCTGGCGGAAGATCGGGCCGAGTGAGAGGGGGGGATAGGGAAGTCGGGGGGTTATGACATCTGTTGCATGCAGCTGGTTTCGGCCCCGCCGCCGGGCCCATTCCTCGATACACGGGCGCCTCCTGGCGTCGGGAGGCGCTGCGAAAATCAGCTTCGTGAGCTGATTCTCTACCCTGCCGTTTGCTATCCCCCCCTGTCGTTCCCCCCGAGAAGAGCAGGGCATGGCGGGCGCCTCAGTTTCGAGCCAGAAGCAGCAACAACATATTTTCTTTTTGAGATCCGCGCAGCCTTCTCGGATCGGCACTTCGCCGATCCAAGCCACCCGTGCGGACCTCAGAGAGAACGTATGGTGTTTGCCATTTGTTTGTTCCTCTTGTGTTAGCTCCCTGAGACTCGAATCGCAATGTTTGCACAAGGGGCGATTTTGCCTGCCTTCGAGCCCCAGGGCCATCACAGACCAATCTGGATTGAAAAATGCTACAGAAGGATGGGGGTATTTTTGCGAAACGTCGGATCTCCGGGCTGGCATGTAACGGGGTTCAACGCACAGAGAGGGCTCAGCCAGAGCGCCAGAGTCTGCAGGCTCCTGCAGGGCTAGATTTTTGCCGAGCCGACGTGTGAGAGCCACTCGGGGCCCTGGAGTTCTTCAGGAGGGAAATGACACAGACGCAATTCATCGTCGATTCCCCAGAAAATATTGGAAAATATGGGAAGGAGGGGGGGAAAACGAAAATCCATAAAATATGAGAACATATGGGGAATCCTGGATGTGTATATTTGTTTGTGCGTCCTTGGGCCTCTTCAGTTCTGGCGCAATCGAAAAGGATACGAGCGGGTAGGCTGACCGACAGCAGTTCCTGCCCATTTGAACAGGACTCGTTGTCGGCGTCGCTGCGGACGTTCGGCCGCTGCGGTTTTGGACGACATTTGGTATTGGGCATCGTATTTCTTGTCCGTACCCACTGCGGGCATGCCAACAAGTGGCCTTACGTGTTGGTTGAGCCGGTTTTGGGAAGCCCCCCACATTTTCTTGGCGAAGGACCCAACCATATTCAGTTGCGAGTGCCGCAAGACAGGTGGAATCTCAGAGAGGGGGCTAGCAGAAGGACTCAGGACTAAGGCGTGCGTGAGAATGACGGAGCGACGTTGCTGATGGGGTCGCAGGGGTCAGCCGCAACGGGGTGCATTTGAATATTGCTGATACTATGTGTGTCACCCCTTTCCCGTCGGCGTCACCCCAACATGCTGATACTATGTGCGCGCGTCGCCCCCCCCTCCCCCCAGGGACGACGCCGGTGCCAAGAGATTTCACAGTTAGGCTCCGATCTGTACCACGAGAGGGCTGTCTTATTTGCTCGCCTCTTCGCGACAGCCGCCCGAGTCTTTCCTCCCTCCCTCCCTCCTCGCCGCTCCCCCTCCCCGCTTGTCCTCTGCCGCGACTTTTCTACTTTCCGACACTCCAAGGCGGCCCAAGATGTCCGCAATATGGCCTCCAGGCAGCCCAAAAGATCCCACAAGAGAGCCCACTGACGGCCCAAGGGGTCTCCAAGACGGGCCGGGAGGCGCCCAAGACGACCCAGGAGAGCCCCGAGACGGTTCCAAAAAGAGGGAGAGCACACGAACAAGTCGAATTTGTTGCTTAAAGATGCCCTCGCGACTTCCCAGGATGCCCCCGAGAGGACCGCCAGAGGTCCCCAACCCGTGCGTCGCACGCTAGACGGCACGCTTGGGGAACGCTCGGGGAGGGGAAAATCGCAGATGGCTGCCAGACTGCTCAAGAGGCCTCCAGGATACTCCGAGAGAGCCCCCAGAGGACTCCGAGAGCCTGAAATCGCTGATTTCCCATAGGTTTTCGAAGGATTTCGGCTTTGTCGCCTTTTCGCTTGTCTGACGCTCGCAGACGGCCCAAGAGGCACCCAAAGCGGCCCAAGAGGCGAACGATGGCTTTAAGGCAGCCCACAATGGCCCCCAGAGAGCCTAAGACAAGACAGCCCCAGGATGCGCCCCAGGATTCCTTTTGGAAAACGTGTATATTTAGTGTATGCGCTTCCTGCGTCTACCCAGCGTCCAAGCTTGCTCAAGCGGCTTTCAAGATCGCCCCACCACGGCTCAGGAGGCCCCCAAAAGACCCCAGCACGACCCAAGAGGTTCCGAGACGGCCCAAGACGGGCCCAAGATGGCCCCAAGAGGGTCCAAGAGGCTTCCAAATTCGTCCGACGGCCCAAAATGTCCCCAACACGGCCAAATATGGTTTCAAGACGATTCCCGAAGCCCCCAAGAAGGAGGCCTCCCAGAGGCCCTCCAGGAGGACCATGAAAGGCGAAACTCGCAGACTTTCTGTTGTTGTTCTTGACGTTTTTGGCGTCCAAGACAGCCCGAAAATTCCCCCCACCGACCGAGAGGCCCCCTAGACGGCTCCAAGAGAGGCCAAAACGCGAAGGTGGTCGTTCGGGTTGAGGGGGGGGGGGAGACATGGAGCTTTGTGGCCTGCGGCCCTTCCCGCCACCGTGCTGGGGTTGTGGTTGAAAGGACTCTTGGATGTTTTCGGGTCTGTTGGGGTCTCTGATTCTCGAGATTTCCAAGTGGTCTATCGAACATGGTGGTCCCGAGCTGGAACCACGTATTTTCGCGTGTCCAGGCCACCCAGGTGGACATCGAACGTGGTGGTCCCGAGCTGGAACCAAGTGTTGTTTTACGTGTCCAGGCCACTTGGGGCGGTATATAGCATGGCCGTCTGCTTTTGAGTCCCATTTCTGGGATTTTCACAGCGACCACGACTGCCCCAGATGCCCCCCGCACCGCCCCAAGACGACCCACGGGGCCCACGCGAGGGCCCTCTGACGGCTCAACATTGACTGCCGAAACGGCCCAACAGGGCTCCCCGAGGGCCCCAACAGAGAGGCCCAAGATGGAGGGATTCCAACTGGCATCTCCTGCGCTCCGCCCCTCAGAGGGCCCCCGAGCCCGCCATCACGCCCCCAGGAGGCCCCCGAGAGGCCCCGAGAGGCCCACAAGAGACCCCCAAGAGGCTCCCAAGAAGCCCCCAAGAGGCTCCCTTATCAAGCTGTCTCTACAACAGAAGGGTGGTCAGTTTTTGGCACCCTGTCTGTTCGATAACACGCCGAAGAGTTTCCTTTGATCCCTGTAGTCTGTGGCGGGCTGGCTTTCCTGTTGGCGCCTTGGGGCGTGCCGGCCTCCTCCCAAGGGTCGGCTGGCTGCGTCAGGGGGGTTTCAACATCCTGGGCGCCGAACAGTTGTTTTAGCCCCAGGGCCAGCAGGTTTGCACAATGGCTTCCTTCAGAACAAAGACGATTTCGTGCGTTTTTCATTCGAGCATCCAGTCGCGCCGCCCGACTCCAGGCCGAGCATTGACTCGATCGGACTGCCTGCCGTCCCTGGGCTTGAAGCGGGCGCGCGTGCAGCAAAGGCTCAGTCCAGAGCCTTGCGTTCTGGCCTCGTTCGCGTCCTCCCCATCCGCATCCTTCTCATCCTTTCTCCCTCCGCGTATGTCTCCCAGAGTCGGGCCGATACAGGATGGATCTCTTCCTGTGCTTTTCTTTCTGGCCCGCCAACGTTTCACCTTCGCCGCCAGCGTTGCCCATCATGGCAGCTGCATCTCGGCGGGGAGGAGGAGGAGGCCAGCTTTCTTGCTCAGGTTGGAGGAGAAGGAGGATGGGTAGAGGAGGAGGAGGCGGAGGAGGAGGAGGAGGGCTTGTTTTACAATTTCGCTGTCCCCACGATCGTGGCGTGACGCTTTCGGGCGTCCGATCGGATCTTTGCCTTGCCGCCACCTCATACGCAGTGATGGTGCCGTCAGTCCAGGGGGCCAGGCCGCCCGTGTCTCAGTGTTCATCCCGAGCTGCCCGCGCTTGGTCAGTCCTGGCTCCGTGTGGTGGGGCACCGCCGCTCGTTCGGCCCCACACGTGTCGGGTATGGCCAGGACCCCAGGTAAGGGGACCCGGTCAGTAGTGGGGCCCTGGAGCCCCTAAATTGGCCACAATCACTAAACCAGGTCTGTCGTAGCTGGTGCTTTTTTCGGGTGACGGCAATTCCGGTTAGTGGAACGGGGCGGGGGGGGCGTCCCCCAGTACACATAAACCAGGTTCCACTAAACCCAGTTCTGCCAACGCCCGAATCTGATACGTTTTCTTTTGCGTAGTGCATTGTGCGTGTAGCACGAGTGTCAGGCACCCCCTATCGCTGCACCCCAAAACTACGCATGTCTCCCCTCCTCCATCCTCAATGTATCATGCGTTCTGCAGAGTCTGCGGCGGATCACCAGCCCATCGTAGAGTTGTTCGCTCTCCGCGGGTATCACGAGGAAGAGAGGGAGGTGGCGAAGGAGTCATGATGTGGAGGATGAGGATGACGAGGAGGAAGCCGACGGCGATGAGAAGGAGGAAGCAGAAGGGGAGGAGGAGACGAGGACGACAAGGATGAGGAAAGCAACATAGAAGGATGAGGAGGAGAAGAAGGAGGAGGAGGACGACGTTGAGCACGATATCTCGATCTGACATTGACCTACCGCGAACGCGAAGGCCAGCACATGCAACAATGATTCGCCTCCATCGCCGGGCAGTCGACAAGGAAGACCCCCTCGTTCCACTAGGCAGAGCCATAAGCGGCGTCGACGGTAAAGAGAGGGGGGAAGGAGGAGCTTCGCTGCGGTATTAGAATGATCAGCGCTCGTTCACGAGGGCGGGGCAGGGTGGCGCAATGGACCACCTGTAGGAGGAGGAGGAGGAGGAGGAGGAGGAGGAGGAGGAGGAGGAGGAGGAGGAGGAGGAGGGTAAAGGGACGCGGGGAGGAGGGAGGAAGGAGAGGAGGAGGAGGAGGAGTAGCAGGAGGAGGGGCAGGAGCAGGAGCAGGACCAGGAGCAGGAGGAGCAGGAGGAGGAATGAGGAGCAGCAGCAGGAGCTGGAGCTGGAGCAAGAACAGGAAGAGCAGGAGGGGGGAGGGCGGAGAAAGGAGGAGGAGGAGGAGGAGGGACCAGCATGACGAGGATAGGAGGAGGAGGAGGAGGAGGAGGAGGAGGAGGAGGAGGAGGAGGAGGAGGAGGAGGAGGAGGGGGAGGAGGAGCGAGTCTCCTGGAGGGTTGGAGGCAGGATGCCACCCCCGGCGGGAAGCATAGGGAGGAGGCCGCCGCACGCCGGCGGCGAGGCGCAGCAGGCGCTCTTCGACGACCTCGACAGGAGGCCGCAGAAGCAGCCGGCACCGCAGGCGACGGCTGCCCGTCGTCGTCGTCGTCGTCGTCGTCGTCGTCGTCGTCGTCGTCGTCATCGTCTAGACGAAGAAAACAACATTTCTTGGATCTGCGCTGGAGCCCCCTCCTTGCCGCGCGGAGCGCGCCAGGGGCGGCGCCGCTGGGGGCCCCCAGCACGGATCCAAGAAATCCGCGCGAAGCGCCGAAAGTTTGTGTATATGGCGTTTTTTCTTCCTCGATCGTCGTCGTCATCGTCGTCGTCGTCGTCGTCGTTGTCGTCCGTCGGAGCCGTGTGGGTCTCCGCCGACGGCAGCCGGGATAGGAAGGTTCTGAGTGGATGCTACGGTCAGGAACTTTGGCTTGGCGTGTCGCGCGGCCCGTTCTGGCCCACCACGCTTCGACGGAGACCGTCGACACGATCACGTGGCAGCAAAGTCACTACGGAAGTCTGTTACAGTCGGACCGAGGTATAAAGATCGAGGTCGCTTCGGGGAGGCTACCCTAGTGTTCTTCGTGTTTGTTGGATGTTCTTGTGCATCCTGGGGGAGGGCACCCTCGAATGCTCTTAATGTTGGCCGGCGGAGGGTCTCATGTTCTTGAAGGATGTTCTCCTGTCCTAGGTCCGACTGTAATGAGATCACGGCGCGAGTTTGTTGTCTGTTTTCGGACTCCAGGGGCCCTCGCCGGGCCCCGGGACCGCCAGAAGAAAACCTCTCGGGATTGCAAACGGACGTTGTGGAAAGGGTCGGGACTTCCGAGGGCCCCCGCACCGAAATAATCAGGATTTCGCCTGTCTGGGTCCCTGGGTCCCTGGGTTGTACTCGTTGGGGGCAAGGTTAGGTCGGGTATGGCCAGGACCCCAGCCAGGTCAGGGGACCCCGTTAGTAGTGGGGCCCTGGAGCTCCTAAATTGGCCAGAATCACTAGACCAGGTCTGCCGTAGCTGGTGTTTTTTCGGGTGACGGCAGTTCTGGTTAGTGGAACGGGCGGGGGGGGCGTCCTTCAGTACACATCACTAAACCAGGTCCCACTAAACCCAGTTCTGCCAACGCCCGATTAGTGAGGGATGGGCCCAGGGGGGAGGACTGAAGGGTTCTCTCGAGTTTTCGAAAGTTTTGGAACCCGGGGTGGTTTCCGTCAGCTGCGCCTCGTCGAGGGCATTTCAGGGGGCGCCCGGAACGTCCCGAACGGCCGCAGGAGACCAGAGTTTTGGTCAGAAAATTTCCGCGGTGAGGATGGGGATCAGGGACAACGCCAGGTAACCGCATGGCGAGCGCATGCTCGGTACCCTGTCGGGCTTACTTATTGTGCTTATCTGAGGAACCTTCTTTTGTCCAGCTGCGCGCGGCATGCTTAAGTCGTTGCGCACTATGCTTAAGTCGGCACTGTCAGGCGAGTTATTTTCTTACAGACGCTACAATCCCTAAGACGAAAGCCCGCTCAACTGTAACGTTAGGCGCTGCGTCAGGGAGGGATGGGCTAAAGGGCGGCTGCCGACCGTCGAGAGAGCGCCTGCCGTGTAATTTTGACAAGCTTGCGCCGCATCGACGCGGCGTCGTCCCCAGCGCTCGTGTTCTACCCAGATTTCCAGCCTCCGACGACACGATTCTCAGGAGGAAAAACAAAACGCCCCCCCCACACGCACACATATACACATATACACATTCACACACATTCACACACTTTCACACACAAGTCAACGTCGATTCTCAGGAAGATCTAAGAAACCATGGGAAGTGGGGGAAAGCCGAAACTGAGGAACATCTGGGAAAAGATGGAGAAGCCTGTGTGTCCCTTGGCTTGAATCGGGCACGTCGCTCTACAGGAGGAGTATTCAAACATAGGCAGGGGACGTTTTTATTTAGTATATTTGATTTGCCTTATTTGTAGACTATGTTTTGATTATGTTAAGCTTTTCGTGCAAAGTCCCCCTGTAGGGGCCACGCCCGACGTTTCCTTGGGCCCCATTTCACAGATCTCCGACCTCCGACGATGCGAGGTTGCCATCCCGGCGTCCGCGGGGCCCAGCCGCTGGGCCCCGAGCAAGCCCGGCTGCGGGGAGAGAGCGCTGGCCCTGGGAAAGGGGGTCGGGGCCTCTGGCCTCGGGGGTTCGCATCCGGGCTTAAGTCGGGCCTGTCCCTCTACAGGAGGAAGATTCAGAAATAGTCAGAAAGTCGTCGGGGGACGATTTTTCTACTATTTTTGGCTATGTTTGAATATTCGTTTGACTATTTTCATTTTTCGTCCAGAATCCGGCTGTCGGGGGACATGCCCGACCTAGAGGGAGGTTTATCCCAAGGTGGGATTGGGGATCGAGCAGTGGCGGAACGTCCTGGCTTGCCAGCAAAGAATTTTCTAAGAACCTCTTATGGTCTGCACGAGATGTTCTCAGAACAGTTCCTGGCCGAGATTTTCTTGTTCCAACACATCGGCCTCATGTTCTGAGAACATTATTTGTATTTCTAAAGTTTTTGGGGGGTCTCCGATCATTTCGTGGCAGGCCTATAGGAATGCCGGGACGGTCGGTCGCTGCTCAAGGGGAACGGGCCAGGCCGGATGTTCCCGTTCGACGCGTTTCTTTCTTCCAGAGGCCGTCCGGAGCGATTTTCTTTCCAACCCCACCATTGCCCCTACCCCACCTTTTGCGCGCCCTCCGATGGTCGGCCACGCGCAGAGGGGGACAGGGTGAGGGGGGAAGGCTGCTCAGAATCAGGGGCGACAGAAGGACGCACATGTACATACATCCACGTTGGTTTCGAGCGTTCGCATTGCGCAAACCTTCGTATCACGCGGCTGGTCTCGCGGACTGGGGTCCGTGTTCATATACGTGGGTGTGCGCGTACGTTTTTGGTGGGCTCCCTATAGAAACACCCTTGTTTGTTAGAAGGCGCGGGCCTTCTCTATAGATGTAGGGGCAGTGCCTTCTAAGGAGCAGCCTCCCTCTGGGAAGGCTTCCCCCTGCTCCCTTGTGCGCGCCGCCAAGAGGGGTCGGGACCTCTGGGGCCGCGCATTGAAACAGTTGTATCCTCGGATGTCTGCGGAGAGCGTCTTCTGTGTTTTTTTAGTTGCGCAACATCCAATCTTCTCCGCTCTGGAACAGCCCTCTCCTTGAAAATCCCCTCCTTGAAGCAAAATCCCTTTCTGTGTACGGTAGGCTCATTTCTTGGAGGGCCAAGTCTACCTGCTTCTCGAATACCAATACCTGGAGCCCATGCCAAATATCGTTCTCACTTTGTAGCGGCAAGCCGTTTGGCATGAGCCGTTGAAGCAAGACATTCTTTGTTCGTCGTGAAGCAGACGGGCTCAGAAGGAAAGCGGATCCCGAATGCTTCTTTCTGCTTTCGGGATCCCGGGGGCCTCTCTGGGCTCCGGGCTCAGTGCCTGTCAAAGTACGGCACATGATGAATCATTGGTCCTGGGGGGAGGCCCCGAGATCCAGGACCTGTTTCCCTCAGGGCCCGCTTCATGCCAGCCGCACATCCTTGAATTCTTGACGCTTCGCGTATCTCCACCAGCCCCTGTGATCGTCGGACCGACACGATCCTTGACTGGGGGTGTGCGTCGCGCCATTTTGGCAGCGTCCTCCCTGCTTCCTGGGTGGCTGTTTCCCTTCAGACTCCCTGGGCTGCAGCTTGCACCGCCGCCTGATCCGCGGCCCTCGCGCGCGCTCGGCGAATTCGTCACGGCCGCAGCCCGACCGTGACCCGCCGCCGCCGGCGCTTCCGCCTGCGGCTGTAAAAAAAAAGTATCTCCACCAGCCGGCGGTAGGTTCTGATCGCGCGTTCGGTATCGCGCCTTTGCTTGCTTGTCGCTGTATAATTTGGCTCGTGCGTAGCCCGCCCGACCTTTTTGGACGCCGCCTGCGCTTGCGCTTGCGGCCGCGACAAAAAAAACATATCTCCACCAGCCTTTTTTTGTCCGCTGCTCGTTAGCCGCGTTTCTTGACGGCGCCTGGCATTCCTGCGCGCTCGCGAACAAAAAAGTATCTCCACCAGCCCATCCACAAACGATGCCCAGGCGAGTCGCCTTGATCAGGGAAGCAGAGGAGCAAACCGAAGTCTTGGATCAGCCTGCGCAGACCCAGGAGGAGGAGGAGGAGGAGGAGGAGGAGGAGGAGGAGGAGGAGGAGGAGCTCTTGGGGAGCCTCTTGGAGGCCTCTTGGGGGCCTCTTGGGGCCTCCTTGGCGCCTCTTTGGGCCCTCTTGGGGCGCTCTTGGGAGGCTTGGGGATGCTCTTGGAGCCATCTTGGAGGACATGGACTAAAGAAGAGAGGGACTTTATTAGCCTTGCCCTTCTAGAGTGCCTAGAGCCGTCTCTTGGGCCCCTCTTGAAGCGTTTTTTTGGGCGCAGGGAAGTGGGCAGCACACAGAGGAAGGGTCCCCCAGTGGGGGCCTTTTGGAGCGTCTTGGGGGCCTCTTGGCGGTCCCGGGCGCCTCTGAGAGCGTCTTGGGTGCTTCGCAGAGCTTCTTGGGGCCTCTTGGGGTCTCTTGGAAGCCTCTTGGAGGCCTCTTGGGCGCCTGTTGGGGCCTCCTGGGGCCGTCTTGAAGCGCTCTTGGGAGCCTTGGGAGCGCTCTTGGAGCTCTCTTGGGCCATCTTGGAGCCATCTTGAGGCCTCGGATGGCCATCGGAAGCGAAAAGGCGAGAAATCCAAAAACATTGATCTTCGCAAGGTTTTGGAATGATGTTGGCCTCTTCGGGGCCTGTGGGGGGAGCTCTTTGGCAACTTGGAGCCGTCTTGGAGCGATCTTTGGGCCTCTTGGAGCATCTGGGGAGCCATCTTGAGGCATCTTGGGGTACCTTGAGCCATCTTGGAGGTCATCTTGGGCTCTCCCAGGCGCTCTTGGAGTCATCTTAATCAGTGCAGCCCCCCGGGAGGCCAAAATGTGGCCAAAATTTTAGTAACATGAATGAGTATGGCATTCACGCCGAGGCCTCTTGGAGCGTCTTGGGTGCCTCTTGGGGGTCTCTTGGGAGCCTCTTGGGGGCATCCTGGGGGCCTCTTGGAGGCCTCTTGGGGCC